GTTTAAGCCGCACCCCCCCCCCCCCCCCATTCCTTGTACGGCGGCGCGGCTTCAAACGAGCCGCAGCTTTTGGCGATACCGGTGAAAACGCAGCCAGACCTTGCAGCCAGCCGTTGCCAACTCGGGAGTAGTGCGATGAATCAATGAACCCGGGGTTCCCGACATCAACATGCCCCACTACACAAGGTCAGTGGTCGAGTCGCGGTTGCGATTTCAGTTGTCGGAATTAGTTTGAAATGGCCCGGGGGCCACGCTTGCGCCCGAGCTCGAAGGCCACTTCCACGCTCCCCTGCGGAACCTTCTCAGTGGCCTCAGGCCGCGGTCGATTCCGCGCGGTCACGGTCGCGTGCCGCTTCACAACAAGGGCGGTCCCGCTCGGCCAGGTTCACGACTTCGCCATCGCACCTGCCAGGCCCCGCAGCAGGCTCCGTCAGGCCCCGTCCGCCAGTTCAAGAGCAGGATTCTGAAGGAAGACTCTATATACGAGTGTCTAAAATCTAGATTTGAAATCTATAAGAGTCTATCGGTCACAGAAAGACGTGTGGCCAGGCCAGCGCTGCGCCGAGTTGGACCAAACCGAGCACCTCCCGAAACCGCACCGCGTCTGAGTCTATGTCTACGCCTTTGTCGATGCATGTCGTGTCTCTTATATAATGGGATATATTGCAGACCGCCGATGAGAAGTTATAATCGCTTCGCCCAGCATTTCGGCAAGACCGCCTGTCGCCACGGCGCCAGGGCTCCCCGGGGGGCGGAAGCGCCGGAAGCGCGGCCGGCGCGGCCGCCATGGCTCCAGCGGGACTGGGAGGCACCGCGGGCGCCGCCTCCTGCGGGAGCCGCTCCAAGTCATCGAATTCGAACACAGAAGCTTCTCGCGCTTGGCCACAACCCACCCAGGCTCCTCCGCCAAGAGCGCGGCGCGCAGCGTCGGCCTGCGTCGCAGCAATGGCCTGTGACAGGTCCAGGCTCGGTTTCAGGTAGATCAGGTAGATAGTTCCAGTAAGGAACACCAGCATCTGAAAGGCCGTGTGCCCCTGTGCCCACCTTTTTGGGCGCTGGGAGATTCACGGGGAAGGGCTCGGGATGCCTTTTGCACCTGTGCCCTTGGAGCACTGAAATCGGAGTTGCTAAGGTCTCGGTCTCAAACTTCTTCCTTCTCTTTCTCTGCTTTCTCCAGGGTGGCACTCATGACCTGGAAGGTGACGCAGTGAGTGCAGCTGGGGCTGCGGACTTCCTCGTACTACGAGCGCCTCTCGTGCAAGGTCCATAAGCTCGTGCCCAGGAATCCGCCCGTGCTCCTCAAAGGGAGTCTGCACAGGGAAGGCGAAAGGCCGAAAGGCGGCTGAAACCGGTCCTGTGGGTTGGCTTTCCCTTTCTTCTCCTGAATCCAGCTGGCCACCTTTTCCTCGTCTTGCAGGACCTCGTTTTCGGTGCAAGCAGCTCCTGGGAAGCAGCATTGCGAACCAGGCTCCCGGCGGACTTCAGTGCGATGCACAGCTCGTGCTCGTACTTCTCGGGATCTCAGCAGAGACAAAGTCTCGCGGACACGGTGCCACAGTGCCCTCGGCTTGGGCGGCGGCGTGTGCTGAAGAGGACCAAGGCCAGCATGGCGCTGCTCCTGCCGAGAGCGCTTTTTCAGCTGCGACAGCGGAAACTCCCGAGCTGCCTGCCGGGCACCGGGTCGCAGCCAGCCACTGTGGCGTTGGTGAGGAAACGCAGGTTGCAGAGGCCCAGACCGACAGAGCGCACCTCCAAGGCGAGAGCGGCCAATGTGCCAATGCGCCAATCTACGAGACGTTGCAGTTGCATGGATCAGCCTTCATGTCATGGATGCTGATGCTGTGCCCAACTATATCCTGTGCCCCCTTTTTGTTTTGCACAACACTCTTCTCGTGAACACCCATCTGTCTCCTGCTCGTGGAAGCGCTTTCCACCAGCGGGAAGGCGAAACGCCCATTGCATGGCCCTATTGGATGCGACTTTCATGTTCTTCCATTCGCGAAGAAACGTGCAAACTGCGAGGCAAGCAACTCAAACTTAAGGCATTGGTCTTGATGCTTTCGCACAGCCTTGCAAACGACTGCATACAGCACAGCCGGCCTTCAGCCGCTAAAGCGTACTGAGCAGCTCAAGGGTCGCATGTCAAATGACGTTTCGTGTCCAGGGACTTCCGCATTTGCGTGCTCACGGTCGCATGCAGCGACTGCTTCCGCTGCGGGAGTCGGAGTGTCATGCGCCGTGCTCGATGAAATCTGGCAGGCCATGCATGAGGGCTTACCTTCGCCACGTGCCCTTGCCACTATTTCCCCTGCAGGCCCCATGTGGATGCACCGATGCACTTGCATGTGAGTATAACCGATTGTAACAATGCAGCGGTATGTACATGTAACGTTACATAATGTTACATGTGTATACATATATATATATATATAATATATATGTCACGAGCAAGCTTCAGGGTCTGAGCTTTGCAAATGGGAGACCCGGCTCCGCCTCGGTCTCAAGCTTCTCCATGTCGAAGTCCGGGGCCGCCTGCGAAACAGGCCGCCCGGGCCGCCCTATGTGGACATAAGGAGGTCAAGGACCTCCTTAGTACCCGCCCATCCACCCAACTGCGGCCCATCGCAGTCGTCTTGCCCGAAAGCCACACGTTGCCTGTTGCAGGGCAAGCTTGCAGACTTCGAAGAAGTCGTCCAGCTCCTCATCGGTGAGCCGGGCATCCTCACATGTTTCTTGGTTCTGTGTATTGTGCCACCCCTCCTGCGGTCCGCTGACAGAACTAGTGACCTGACTGCGGACGTTGCCGCGGATGACTCTTAGGTGGGACAACTGGGGAATACCCACAACGTGCCGGTGCAATTGCAAAAATCATTAGAATGCTCGAAGACGCTTGCAGAGTATGCGCGAATGAAAGTTGAAACACATGGGTGCATCGAGTGCAAACCAACACATCACATGGCCACGCTCACGAAACTTTGGTGATTTGTGTTTCGCGGAGCGAAGAATTCGTCTTTCAGATGATTTGCCTGTCCCCCTTTTCAGCGATAGCTTATCGAACTACATGATTATGCACTCAAGTATACTCAAGTGGTCGTCTTTTGTTAACTTGCGTCGCTACCAGGTTGTTCGTTGAGACGGCGCTGGTTGCGTACCGTATTTGTCTGAGCAACTTCAAGTAGAGGCTCAGGGACTCATTTGAACACATTCCTGCAAAACAATCACGGTGGCAAACTAAAGGCATCAACAGCATCAGCTCCGCATTCAGTGATAGCGCTTGGGGCTCAAAATCGGTCCACCATTCAGATTTTTGTGACCGATAGTCGTTCAACATTGGTGTATTTGCAGCTGGTGCCGGCATTCACATTGGACTCATCCATTCGCGCGTGGCGACTGTGCACAAAGCGGCAGCAGCAGCCTACGTCCAAGATTCCATCTCCGATAAATAACGTAGGTGATGTTATGGCGCAACATTAGCATTATTCGTGACCCGCTACACAGCACACTCACTTTTGATGGCCAGATTGCTTGCCAAGGCTGTTGGGCATGCGCAGGCGCACAGCTGAACTTCAAAGGGGGAGTGGTGACCGATTTGAGGTCGCTCACGTCTCAAAGGAATGATGACCACCTCGACCTCATTCACGCCGTATTCCCGTCACGGAGGGTGGTTGGGTGACTTGAGCAGGAAGCACGTGCGGCCAAAGGTTTCGCAAGCTCCGGTCTGTCAATTATATGTTCAGAAAACTGACATGACCCACACAGCTGCACCACTTTTCATCCCCGCAAGATCGGCGTTGCTCATGGAGACTTGCTCTATGTAGACATCCGCAACCGGGGTGGCTATGGCCTTTTCCTCTTCTGTTACATGGGCAAACAGGCGCCTCTCTTATGCCACAGCAGTGGGCCTCCAACATCGTGCAACACAAAGAGGCGTCTATCCACCAAAGCCATGCCTTCGTCGCCTGATGTTCAATTGCTGTTGGGCAAGAGCCCTCCGGGATTCGGGGGAACTATCAGACTCCGCTACAGCGCTTTCCAACGACAACTGCCTTGCCGAACCACAGCAGGCACAGAACAACAGATTGGAAACCAAGCACAGAAGTATGAGAACTACCTGAAGTCCACAGCAGTATCTAATTTCGAGGGTTCCTGGGCCTCTTCCCCAGAATGCTTCTCGTCTGAGGACTCGGCGCAGAATTGTGTCGCGAACTGGGAGGCAGCCTCTCTGGCCACTGCTTTCAGAGCGATCTCAAGGGCCTCCTTTTGGGACCTCCTCCTGCTTTCGAAAAGTCCCTCACTGAAGTGGCCCGCAAAGAATCCTCCGAGCTGTCAGATCCTTCCTTCTTGACGTGAGCAGGGAGCACGTGCGGCCAACGTTTCGCAAGTTATGTTCAGAGAACTCAACAAACATCACTTCGAAATCTTGCTTGGCTAGACGTGGCGACTTCATCTCGACCACCTGCTTGAATCTGCTTTGCACAAGCAGAGTTTCCCAATTGCTCGGGTTGGTGGTATGCGTAGTGTATACACTCACGGACATTGAACAGGTGTGGCACACTTGTTTCGCCTTTAGGATTTAAGGCGGATGCGCGGCAATTAAGTACATGATGACTCGATCATGCTGCGGTGGAATCGCGACCATCAGGATCATCAGGCTGCTTCAGGTCTAAGCCTGATGTCCATATCGCTGACCCTCATATGACCGTCGTGCTTGTAGTCGAGCCCAATGGGTGGTTGATGGATGCAGTATATTCATCTTAGAAAGGAAGCACCAGCATCCGCGTCAGGCAACCTTGGGACATAGAACGCTCGCTTGTATGGAGTTCCACCTTGGTTTCTCATCTTCTCCATCTCTTGCAGGCTCGCTCCAGAGACTCATGCCAGATTGAAGAGCAATGAACCTTATAGGAGCCACGAGCCCGAATGCAGTTGCGCGCCCGATAGCAGCNNAGCAGGATTATCAGTTCTAGGTTTCGGTTTCGGGACCAGGACCCCCTCCATCCCCGTGACTGTGGACACTGTTGGAACGCGAGGTCCAAAAAGTGACGACAGTTCTGCATTTCGCGACGATTTTCGGCTCCCAAAAGGGCTGGGGGCTGGGGGCTGGGGCGCGACACTCGCGAACGCTTGCGAACGGGAAACGCTGCGCACGCATTCCGCGTCAACTCCTAACCCCCAGACCCCCAACCTTCAAACGAGAACCCTTCTGCTACGCATTCGGGAGCTGCTGAAAAATGTGCGTAGCAGCGTAGCCGGCTGTTTCTCTCGGTCGTGGAATATGATAATACGAAGTCTTCACTCTGAAGTTCCTCATCATACCCCAAACAACCCCAATATCCGCTATCTGGAGCTGGATTTGTCGCGGCTGCCGTCGCAGAAAAGGCCTGGGACCAGCGAAAAGCAATGAAACTTGGGGGTCCTGGTACCTTTAAAGTGCACCATCGCCAGGCACGGTCTCCAGGAGGCTTTCGCGACGCGACCATGAGCGATTTGCCTTTGAACTCGAGGGCTGCATTCAGAAGTGTAAAAGCTTTAAGCTGATACAGAGACTTGCGACTGAAATGTCCTGGCAGGTTCAGCGCATCCGCGACTGCAAGCTGTCTCCAAGCTTCCCAACAACGCCCGACAAAGTCACAGAAGCGGAGTGAGGTCCCCAGCATGTTAGAGTTGCTTATAGTTGAAATTTGATACTAGGAAAAGCAAACCTGCGATGCTGGGCGTGAGCTACGTGCCAAGCGGGGTCGGCGAGTGGGTGAAACAAGCAACAAACTCTGACTCGGGGAGCTAAACTCATGACCGTCGTGGAGAGCTTGTTTCGTCCGCGAAAATCTAACTGCGTCGTCTCGGCGGCAAAAACACGAACTCCATCTCAGGGTGTTTGTTTCAACTCCGACCAGGAGAATCTGCCTCGTGTGTAACTCCGGCCACAAACTTTGCTCCTGCTAACTCTATA